AAAGAGGAAGGGAGAGGGAGAGAGAGGGAGAAACGTCAATAATGAGAGAGAATCATGGATCGGCTGCCTCCTGCATGACCCACACTGGGGATGGAGCGAGCCCGTAACCCAGGCATGTGCCCCTGACCGGAATCGAACCTGGGACCCTTCAGTGTGCAGGCCAACACTCTAGCCACTGAGCCAAACCAGCTAGGGCCTTTTTCTGAAGTTTTATCGTTATTATACAGGAAGGCAATGCATTTTTGCACATTGATTTTGTATTGTGCAACTTGACTATATTTGTTCCTAATAGTTTTTTTAGTGGAGTCTTTTGGGTTTTTTATATACAGAATTATGTCATCTGCAAAAAGTGACAGTTTGACTTCTTTTCCTACTTAGATGCCTTTATTTCTTTCTCTTGCCTTATTGCTCTGACTAGGACTTCCAGCATTATGTTGAATAAGAGTGGTGAGAGTGGACATTCTTGTCTCGTTCCTGATCTTAGAGGAAAAGCATTCAGTTTTTCACCATTGAGTATGATATTAGCTGAGGGTTTATCATATATGGCCTTTATTATTATTTTTAATGTTTTTATTGACTTCAGAGTGGAAGGGTCGGGGGGAGAGAGATAGAAACATCAATGATGAGAGAGAATCATTGATCAGTTGCCTCCTGCAAGCCCCAAACCGGGGATTGAACCCACAACCTGGGCAAGTGCCCTGACCAGGAATTGAACTGTGACCTCCTGGTTCATAGGTTGATGCTCAAACACTGAGCCTTGCCGGCTAGGCATATATGGCCTTTATTTTGTTGAGATACTTCCCTTCTATTCCTATTATTATTGAGTGTTTTAATCATAAATGGATGTTGTATCTTAACAAATGCTTTTTCTGCATCTATTGGTAAAATCACATGGTTTTGATCCTTCTTTTGTTGATGTGGTGTATTATGTTGATTGCGTACGTTGAGCCATTCTTGTGCCCCTGGAATGAACCCCACTTGATCGTGATGTATTATTTTTTGGATGTACTGTTGTATTCAAATTGCTAGTATTTTGTTTAGAATTTTTGCATCTGTATTCATCAGAGATATTGGTCTGTAGTTTTCTTTTTTTGTGTTATCTTTCCCAGGTTTTGAGAAGGATGGTTTTAAATCTTCTTTGAATGTCTGGTAGAATTCACTGGTGAAGCCATCTGGTCCTGGACTTTTGTTTTTTGGGAGTTTTTTTTTGTTTGTTTTGTTTTTTTTGTTTTAATCAACAGGGATATTTTTCCATTGATTTTTAGAGAGAGTGGAAGAGTGAAAGAGATGGAAAGACAGAAATATCAATGTGAGAGGAACACATCAAATGGTTGCCTCCTGCATGAGCCCCTGACCAGGGCTTGGTCTGGGGAGGAGCCTGCAGCCGAGGTACATGCCCTTCCTTGACCAGAATCGAATCCGGGACTCTCCGGTCTGCAGGCCAACACTCTATCCACTGAGCCAAACCAGCTAGATTCTCTATATCTTTTAATCTTAACTTTTATTTCTTTAACCCAATCATTTTTTAGTAGTATGTTGTTTAATCTGCATGTATTTGTGGGTTTCTTTACTTCATTTTTGCATTTGATTTCTAATTTCAAGGCATTGTGGTCAGAGAACATGCTTGGTAAACTTTCAGTCTTCTTGAATTTGTTGATGCTAGTTTTGTGACCCAATATATGGTTAATCTTTGAGAATGCTGTGCTCTGGAGAATGTATAATCTGATGCTCTGTGATGAAAGGTTCTGTAAATGTTAATTATGTCCATTTGGTCTAGTGTTTCATTTAAGGCCAATATTTCTTTATTGATTTTCTGTTTGGTTGATCTGTCTAGAGCTGTCAATGGAGTATAAAGTCTCCAACTATGATTGTGTTTTGGTCTATTTCTCCCTTTAGTTCTGTGAGTAGTTTTATATATTTTGGTGCTCCCTGGTTGGGTGGGTATATATTAAGAAGTGTTATGTTTTCTTTAAAAAAAATATTTTTATTGATTTCAGAAAGGAAGGAAGAGGAAGAGAAAGGTAGAAACATGAATGATGAGAATCATTGATTGGCTGCCTCCTGCATACCCCATACTGGGGATCGAGCCCACAACCCAGGCAGGTGCCCTGACCAGGAATCGAACTGACCCCTCCTGGTTCATAGGTCCACACTCAACCACTGAGCCACGCCAGCTGGGCAGTTTTTTCCCTTTTGAGTGCATTTGATCTTCATTATCCTTTTCCAGTTCAGACCTTTCCCCCTCCCCTTTTATGTTTTTGTTGTCACAAATTATCCCTATTTATGCTGTAAGTTTATTGTTGAACTTACTCGTAGTGTTATGGCCTTATGTTCTTTGTTTCAGGTAGAATAACTCTATTGAGTATTTCCTGCAATGGAGGTTTTCTGGTGATGAAATCCCTCAGCTTCTGTATGTCTGGGAACATCTTTATTTCTCCTTAATATTTAAAGGATAATTTTGCTGGATATATTATTTGTGGCTGGTAATTTCTCTCTTTCAGGAGTTTGACTATTTGCTTCCACTCTCTTCTGGCTTGTAGAGTTTCTGCTGAGAGTTTGGATGATTCTGATGGGTTTTCCTTTGTAGGTTACTTCCTTCTTTTCCTGGCTGCTGCTTTGAGAACTTTAGTCTTTGTCATTAATTGTGACAGGCCCTTGAAGAAGGCCTCTTTGGATTGAGGTAACCGGGTGTTCTGTTTGCTTGTTGGAATCGAGGACCTAGTTCTTTTTTTTAAAAAATATATTTCTATATTGATTTCAGAGAGGAAGGGAGAAGGAGAGATAGGAACATCAATGATGAGAGAAAATCATTGATCGGCTGCCTCCTGCACGTCCCCCACTGGGGATCGAGCCTGCAACCCAGGCATGTGCCCTTGGCCGGAATCGAACCCAGGACCCTTCAGTCCACAGGCCGACGCTCTATCCATTGAGCCAAGCCGTCCAGGGCGAGGATCTAGTTCTTTACATAGATTTGGAAAGTTCGCATCCACTATTTGTTTTAATAGACTCTTCATTCCATGCTTCCTCTCTTCCTCCTCTGCAATGCCTGTAATTCTAATTTTGCTTTTTCTGATGGAATCAGATAGGTCTCATAGAGCTCTTTTATTTTTCTTTATTCTCAGGTCTTTCTCTTCCCTCTGCACCATTTCTTGATTCCTATCTTTACTATCACTAGTTCTTTCCTCTATCTCATTTGTTCTGTTTTCTATGCTCAGTAGTTTACTCTTAATCTCCTTAATTGCATGCTTCACTTCCAGGACTTCTTATTGGTTCTTTTTTTAATCTCCTTGGTAAAGTACTCGTTTTGTTCATTGATTTGTTTTCTAAGTGCACTGAATTGCCTGTCAGTATTTTCTTGCATCTCATTGAGTATTTTCAGGACTGCAATCTTGAAATCTCTGTCATTTATTATTTTTAAAAACTTTAAAATTTTTCCATTGATGTTTAGAGAGAGTAGAAAGAAGGGGGAGAGACAGAAAGAGGGAAACATCGATGTGAGAGACACATCGATTGGTTGCCTTCCATATACACCCCGACTGGGGCTGGGGATCGAGCATGCAACCGAGGTGTGTGCCCTTTACTGAAGTTGAACCCAGGACCCTTCAGTCTGTGGGCCAACACTCTATCCACTGAGCCAAACCAGCTAGGGTGAAATCTCTGTCATTTATATCACATATTTCCATGTGTTCCAGCCTGCTTTTTGGGGATTTTTCATTTTCTTTCTGGTCATCGTCATCACTGTGGTTCTTCATGGTATTTGCTGTCTTCCTTTGCTTATGCATTTATCTCTGAAGAGGTCTTTCTACTATTTTCCAGTAGATGGTGCTGAATCACAAGATTTTTACCTCTGAACTCCTAGTCTTGAACCTCCGTGGCTTCCCTAAGACTGTATAACTGTGCTGCTTGGGGTAGGGTTTGTGTCTCACTTCCGTGGGTCCCGCCCCAGCACCCCTCCTGGGGATCAGTCACAGAGGGAAACGTATTCTACTGCAGTAGCTTTTGGTTTACAGATAATACGCTCCTGAACTTGACTTCAAGGGCAACAGGAGGCAAGTTTTGGGAGTCCAAGCAGTGGCAGGGCTCTGTGGTACATTTCTTTGTCTGAAACACCACTGCCTGTCTCCGAGCCACATGCACACGGCAGAATCCTGTGCTCTGTCAGGCATCTGCTGATGCAGACACTGTTCACTCTCTGACTGCTTGCCACTTGCTATGAGCTGCCGGCTACAGGGCTGCCCTTGGGGGACATCTACGCTTTCCGCTCTTGTCTCCCCGTTTATTCCTGGTTGCCTACCTTTAGATGTTTCAGTGCGCAGGTCTCTCAGGCATGCGTCTGTGTTGAGCAGGGATTTCTTTGTTGAATTATACATGGTTAACTTTTTGAAATTTCAGGAGGAGAGGAAAAGACACAGCCTTATGCCATCATTCCTCTGACATCACCTTCCATGTCTTTCATATTACAAGGCTCTAAGCTAAGAGATCCCCTGCAGGGCACCCCGTCCATTACTCTCCCCTCCATGCATTCGGCCCTATGTACTTTTTCTTGCCATTCCTGGGTCTTCACTGGCAAAACCCCTGCCTCAGGGTCTTACTGTGCCCTCAGTAGCCTGCTTTCTCACTTCCTTTACTTTTTGCTCTTGTTACATCAGTTTTTTAACCTTATTTAAGTCTGAAACATTCACCCAATACCAGCACTTGTCCATTTTTCCCATAAGCAGGAATTTAAAAAATATAATACTGAATCCCCAGTGCCTAGAACACAGTCTGGCACCTTGTACGCCCTTAATAAATACTTATTGAATTATTAAAGAACAGGTAGAATGACACTGGGCATGTGCTATGTACATTAATACAGTATCTAATTCAATGTGCGCAGCAGTGCTATGAGGGAGGCTTTCCTGTTTTCCATAAGCGGAACTGAGATTACAGTTTGCAGAGACCCAGGTCTCTTGCTCACGGGCCTGTGGGTCAGGACTGACTTGTCCCCTTTCTCCCCACAGGTCCCGAGGGAGGCGGCAGCGCCTTCTGCAGACCCGGCGCGTACACACGTGTGCCCGGACTGCGGCCGTGCTTTTGCACGCCGGTCCACGCTGGCCAAGCATTCACGCACGCACACGGGTGAACGGCCCTTTGAATGCCCCGAGTGTGGCCGGGGCTTCTCGCAGAAGTCGGCGCTGACCAAACACGGCCG